AGAGAGGGATGATGTTGGAGTGGTCATGAAGGCCAGCCTGAGGAGTTGATATTTGGCCTAACATCTAAAAAATGAAGAAAGTTCAGCTGTGGAAAGACCTGAGGCCAGATCTGAAAATAGTTTCTGGAAGAGTTGACTGAGAGTGCAGAGGCCACAGAACCAGAGCTCCCTTAGTCAGTGAGAGGGCTCTCAACTAGAGCTGTGGTCTTCTAAGCTGTGTATGATCTCCACCAAGCCTGTTCTCTCCCTTTCCTTGGTGTTCCTCACCTCCCCTAGGACCAGTCTCTCCAGTTTTTGTGCCATATAGGGACCTGCATGTGTGAGTGTCTGTCCTTTGCTTTCTAATCTCCTCTGGGCCCACTTGTATTTCCATGATTGTTGCCAACATATACATCAAAAATGACAACATCATTTGCATCAAGATGTAATATGCACATTTAAAAAGACGACATCAGTCACATCAGTAAACTGACAGAAATTCATGGGTTACCGGTGTTCCTTGCCTCTTGCCCAATCTTGAACTGAAAGAAATACTCAGGGCTGGAATGCTTGCTTTAGTTGCCTGGAAGGTAGCAATGTTTCTCAGGTTCTCAGGCTCTGGATATGCTCTGACCCAGAAAGAGGAACAGAGCTGTGAGCACTATCTTCTTATACATAATTGTCCCAATAACAGAGAAAACACTGAAAAGGAGTTACCTTTCAACAGAAGAACAACTTATAATAAAATGTTAAGAAGTTCCTAGCATTTAGATTCAGTGAAAAGGAGAACTGTGTATGTGTATATTGTCCATTTTCCCTACTAATGTAGGAAAAGTTTGGTGTGTGTGCTAAAGAGAAACAAAAGGGAAGTTCTAAGTTCATGAAATGAGCTTAAAGCAAAGTTGGCTCCAAATTGTGTGCTGTGATATCCCATAGAACAGAGGAGAAGCACCAGCAGAAACTGTTGTTGCTTAGCTATTAATTGCCTGCTCTTCTTAGAACACACAATACCATCCAGCCTTCTTGGACACTAACGACTTTCTTCATATTCTTCACATCCATGCTAATAAAATCTTTTGAGAAATAGATCCTATTTTGTTTTTTGCTGTGAAAACAGAACCCCACGTGAATCATTATGGCCTAATGATTATTTACCAGTTATCATGCTCTTCTACCCAGGGGGTGATTCCAACGTTCCGTGTGAAGTTCCTGCTCAGGCTGTTGCGGGGCAGGCTAGAGGTAGACCTCGACAAGGACAAACTTTTGTTTAAGCACATGTGCTATGAAATGGAGAGGCTGCACAACGGCGGTGATGTCACCTTCCATGACGTGCTAAGGTATGACGGGGTGTTCTGGTTACCTAGTGCCTCTCTGACAGAAATATACCACAAATGGAATGGCTTGAACAAACAGGAGTTCATTCTCTTCGGGAGGCTAGAAGTCCAAGGTCTAAGTGAGGGGCTCTTGTGAAAGACCCTCAACCTTGGGGTCCAGCTCTGCCTCCTGCTCCCAGCCCACTGGAGCTAGAGGCGTTTCTTCACTCAGACAGCTGCTGGCTGCTGAGGCTGACAAACCCAAGGTCGACAAATGAAAAGGCACAGTCTTGATGTTACCAAACCACATGGCAGGCCACTCATTCAAGTCCATTGTAAGTCCCAAGGTCAGCAGAGCGTAGCAGGTTGCTGAGCAATGACACGGCTACATGCAGGGTTCAAGGGTGCCATAAGCTAGAGACCATTCCCCAAGGCTTCTGCTTATATGAAGGAAGGAGACCACATTCTCTAAGGCAGCTACTCAGCTGCTCACAATAGATTCCACCATAGAGATGATTACCAGTCTCATCATGGGGAATACTACATCCAGCTGCCCAGCCACTCAACCAGGCCCAGCCAAGTTGACACACAAACTTAACTACCACAGGGAGCTTTCACAATACTATTATCACAGAGCTGAACTGAATCCAGAAATTAAAGTTGTGATAACTGAAGGCTTTGTGAAACACAACAAACATGTATATATATTAATAACCTAGAATGCCACCTTGATGGTGAAGCAGAGTCACCTATCTCAGGCATGGGGTGATTTTGCTCACTGTCCTGTAATGATCGGTTCCAAGTCAGGGCATCACATGGGGAAGTGAGATCCAGTGGCCTGACATACCCAGAAATGCTACTTCCTGACTGAAGAGTTCCTGAATAATAGAGTTAGAAGGAGGCTTGGGGAGCACAGTCCTACTCCCTTCATTTTGCAGATAAGGGAACTGGTCCTGAAGAGCTGAGAGGCTTGTCCATCATTAATGTAACAGAGATTGGTGTTTTATTTCTCCTCTCTCTGAGAGACTTCTTAAACAAGGAGTTTATGGACAAAACTCAGATCTCTATGGACTTGGAAAAGGTAACAATTACATGTTTACTTTCACTAATCACTCACTAAAATGCAGCATTTCCTTCAATGATAAATGGAGGCAAGAGACCATACTGGTGTTAACAGTACCTATGTCTTTATCAGCAAGAAAAATCATAGATGTTTTCAGAACAAAGTACTGTTGTGGCTGGTATCTGAAAATATCATTTATACTTATCAGCACTTTAGAGTTACAGTAGTCATTTGACCTTCATTTGATATTATTATTTAATGCACCAGGAAAGATGCCCAGATGTTATTATATCACAACCTTTTTTTAAAAAAAATAATTTGAGAAATAAATTTCAACATAATTGATTTCTTTTATAATACTGTGTATTTTATTTAATACATTGAAACATTATTCTAATAAATGTTCCCTAGGCTCCACTGCCAAAGGAATCTACACCATGAAAAAGTTAAGAAGCTCTGACTAGTTGTAGCTATTTTAATCTGATGCAAGTATCTGGCAAGTTGGGTAACTTTGTCACAAATTTTAGGAGGGTAATGATGGTATATATTGTGCCTAGCACTTGGAAAATGATCTCAACAGGAAATATCTGGGAGAAGTTCTCCCAATTTATGAATTTTCTTCTCCACTGTTCACTTCTTCAAATACAGAATCATTGTACCAAAAAGAATTGCTCGACATTCAATCATTTCAGGAGGTAGCATATGATCAAGGACCAATGTATTGAAGGAAAAAGTCCAACCTGCACTGAAGGAACTGGTGAAAGACAAGTCTCCAGGAATTGATGGAATACCAATTGTGGTGCTTCAACAGATGCAGTACTAGAGGTACTCACTTCTTTATGCCAAGAAATTTAGAAGATGGCTGGCTATCTGGCCAATCAACTAGAAGAGATCTGTATTTGTGTCCATTCCAAAGAAAGGTGATCCAACAGAATGTGGGAATTATTGAGCAATATCATTAATATCACGTGCAAGTAAAATTTTGATAAAGGTAATTAAAAAATGGTTGCAGCAGTATATTGACAGGGAATTTCCAGAAATTCAAGGTGGATTCAGAAAGAAATGTGGAAAAAGGGATATTATTACTGATGTCAGATGGATCTGGGCTGAAAGTAAAAGTACCAGAAAAGATGTTTACCTATGTTTTATTGACTATGAAAAAGCATTTGACTGTGTGGATAACAAATGATGCATAATGTTGCAAAGAATGGGAACTCCAGAACACTTCACTATGCTCACAAGAAACCTGTACATAGACCAAGAGGCAGGCATTTGAACAGAACAAAGGGACACTGCATGGTTTAAAATCAGGAACAGTGTGTGTCAGGGTTGTAGCCTTTCACCATGTTTATTCAATCTGTAAACTGAGTAAATAATTTGAGAAGCTGGACTATATAAAGAAGAACGTGACATCAGGATTGGAGGAAGACTCATTGACAACCTGTGATATGCAGATGACACAACTTTGCTTGCTGAAAGTGAGGATGACTTAAAGCATTTACTGATGAAGATCAAAAACTACAGCCCTCAGTATGAATTACACCTAAACATAAAGACAGTCAAAATCCTGACAACTGGAGCAATAAATATGATATAAGATATGATATATGATAAATATAGAAAAGATTGAAGTTGTTAGAGATTTCAATTTATTTGGATCCACAATCAACACCCATGGAAGCAGCAGTCAAGAAATCAAAGATGTATTGCATTGGACAAATTTGCTGCAAAACATCTCTTCAGAGTGTTAAAGAGCAAAAATGTCACTTTGAAGACTAAAATGTGCCTGACCTAAGTCATGGTATTTTCAATCACCTCGTAGATATGTGAGAGCTGGGAAATGAACAAGGAAGACTGCAGAAGAATTGGTGCATTTGTTTGAATTATGGTGATGGCGAAGAATATGGAATGTATCATGAACTGCTAGAAGAGTGAATAAATCTGTTTTGGAGGAAGTACAGCCAGAATGCTCCCTAGATGTGAGAATGGCTAGACTTCATCTCTTGTACTTAGGTCATTTTGTCAGAAGGGACCAGTCCCTGGCAAAGGATATCATACTAGATCAGAAAAAAGGGGAAAAACCTTAGCGAGATGGAGTGACACAATGGCTGCAATGATGGGCTCAAGCATGGCAATGATTGTGATGTCGGCACAGGATCAAGCAGTGTTTCATTCTGTTGCTGATAGGGCCACTATGAGTTAGAACTAACTCAACAGCCCGTAACAACAACATTCACTTCTTCCAAGGAGAAAGATAAAAACCAGAAAGAGATGGGATAGAAAACATATATGAAAAAGAAACAGATATGTCTCTCAGAATGTTACGTTATTAACCTTTTCTCCCATGACAATTTTTTTTAGCTTGAAATTGAGGGACATAGCCATACTGTTGTCATTAATAGTTAACATTCAACATTTCTGGAACATATCAAACATAGTCTGATGTAATGTGATTCAGTGGTCCCTCTAATAAAAATGGACCACAGGCAAAGTCAACACTGGAATTGTTTGCCTCTCCCTATTCCTATACCCAAGTATATAATGAAAATAGCTAAGCAATGACAAGACTGTTGGTAAATTAAGGGAGAGAAGAGCATATGTACTTTTTCTTCTGTGGTCAGAAGGAGTTTAACAAAGAAGAGAAGGCCATGTACCAGTGCTGCATGGAGAAGGTCTCTCAAGAGCTTCCCATGTTTTGATTTAGGTTTCAGCGGTAGAACTGAGTGTACAGCCAAGAGCAGGCAGGGTTGAGCCATAACCTAAAATTCTGTGGCTGTACCAGCTTGACAGAAGGGGCTATGTCCTTTGGCTTTCAGACTGGACACATTGAGAATTGTCTCATTGCCCAAGAGACCTGATGCAACAGGTCAGCAATGTTAGCTTTGTTTTGTCAGTCTTTTGGTGTATTGTGCCAAAGGCTAAATGCAAATGTGTATTAAACTCTGATTTTGTATGTATCTAAAATTAATAAAATAGAAAAGGATACATGGGGACAAATTAGACAAATTGAGAGAATAGGGTGAGGAGACACCCATAACTCACAACCAATGTATTAACAAGACCCAACTGGAGCTAAATGTAAAGAAAATATGAAGAAAGCATCTCTTTCTTCAGCAGGAGATGTTCCATCTCTTTACATAAGCAGCTGACAATGGAGATCAGAGCCTAGGCTGGATCTTACTTTTTTCTCCTCAACCAACTGCTACATTTCACTTACTGTCTTAAGTATCTTGTAAAAAACATTATCTCAATCATTTAATATGGTAAGTACCATCACTATCCCCATTTTACAGATGAGAGAAGAAACACAGAGAGGTTATTTAACTTGCCTGAGGTCACACAGCTAGTAAGGCGTGGCATCAGAATGCTACATTTGCTGAGTTGAGTAATGTCCTTTCTGAATTTTAAAACATCTAACAGCCTAATCTCAGATGCTCTGGACCTAAGTTTGCTGTGGTATTTTCTCCACTAGCATGCTTTCTTACCGGTCAGTTGACATCCGGAAAAGTTTGCAGTTGGAGGAGCTCCTTGCCAGGGAGCAACTGGAATACACCATAGAGGAGGAAGTGGCCAAGCAGACCATTCGCATGTGGCTGAAAAAGTGCTTAAAGCGCATCAGAGCTGTAAGTGGAACAAGAAGCATATCAGAGTTTTAATATTTTCTCTTTCTTTTGAACAAGAAAGGACAAAAGAAAAAAGCTTCATGAACAGCAGGATTAGGTTTTTCTGTAGTTTGCTTTGCATTCCTTCCTCCACTATCTCAACTTCATCCACTTACGATGGTCAGATGATGACTCAAACCTTAACCTTAGTCCAAATTTGACCTTATTCTCTTTAGCAGAGTGCATTGAAGTTTAAACTGAATCATATTTGTCTAAATTACATGAATTTTTTAAAAGCATTTTATTGATATTATAATATTTATGATTTCCATTTATTAAGCTCAAGTGTTTAAGATTCCAAAATCTCTATATATTGACTGGCAACAGAATTTATCCAACTACTTTTCAACTGCTCCTAAAAATTCCAACATACTACTCATAATCTTGTTTGGTCTTTAATTAAAGGCCACTTCTCCTAGGAGTGACTTTGATTTTGTTTGCAGCTTCCTGAACTTAAGTTTATAAGATTCTCTAACTGATAAATCAATGAACATATATTGTGCCAGCATATAACTGTTTATAATGAACATTTCTATTAGGGAATTACTTTATGAATACTTTTTAACATAGGTTTCAAACACACAGGGGGAAAAAAATCAAAGTAATCACTAAACATATATAACAGATTTTTGCATCCTGTTGAATATCCCAGCCTCCTAAAGCAAGGCCAACCACCCACTGTGGCCCAGTCACAGCAGGCCTACCATAGCTCTGCTAGCCCCAGGGATCACATCTGGTCCCCTTGGGCCCTGATTGGACACCAGAGTCCTGATTCACTATCAGACTTCCCAGCCTCAGTATGTGTCAAACCAAATTGTCCAGCTGGGTTGGCCAGATCCAAGAGAAGACCCAATGTTTAATTCCTCCCTGTGATGTTCTCTCTGTCTCTTATAACCAGCAGGAAAGGGGCAACCTGCCCTGACTTGGTGAAAATGGAATAAAATAAAAATGGAAAGAACAAAATGTCATGTTAAACAATTTAAAAATTTTATTTTAAATAAAACACAACCTTGACCATAACTCTTCTTATTGTTATGCAAATAAAAGTGAAAGGGGAAAGCAATTAGTAAGTCTTTAAGCTTTCATTTATATCAATCTAATGTCAGTGAAATTAGTTAATATCACTCTTATTTGAAATTCCTAAGAAGTTACCAGGTACACAGTTTCTTTGGAGAGGGAGAAGAAAATATGATTTGGGCAATCATGGGCAGGGGGATTGTGGGCTTATCTTTCGGTTATTGAAAGAGTATTTGTGTTCTATAGAAACAACAGCAGTCCTGTAGTATCATCCACAGTCTGCGAGAGAGTCAACAACAGGAGCTGAGCCGGTTTCTAAATCCTCCCAGTATTGAGACCACCCAGCCAAGTGAGGACATGAACGCTAACAGTCAGGATAATAACATGCAGCCAGAGGTATGGGTCTTCATCCAAATATGCCCTGTGGGGTTTTCCATAATAAAAATAAATGGGTGTTGGTCACATAAACATTTCAAGCAAGGTCACAATATTCCTACTTTCCAATTGAAAACACCATAGGAATATGTTTGTTCCCCAAAATGGGGAGAGATGATGTTTGTGTCTTTACCTCTCAGGAATCAGTTTAGGTTGTTTCAAAAACTACCAAATATATATTAATGAGCAGAACTCAATACTTCTGTTGATTTTTGGCTAAAGAGTTAACATAATATCTGTCAGAGCATAATGAGTCCAATATTATGACATAGCTCAGGAGTGCACAGTTTACATGAAGTTCTGCCCTGTTCTTCCCTTCACCAAGTCATAGAAATTTGCAGTAAAATTAGTAGATATGCTTATTATTGCTTTTCATTATTCAGACTCATTGGTCTCATCCTTCTTTGGTTGGGCATCAGAATAGTATATGGAATTTGGGGAGGATTAGCTTGAGGACCTCCTATTTACTAGGGCACAGCTTATTTTCATTTGCAAACTCAATCTACACATCTATAAAAATTAAAAAAAAAAAAAAAAAGTACAGAGAGCCATCAGAGTCCTGGAGAGCCCTGTGCTTTGAGGAACAGCTGGCAGGGAAGTCCTGCTCCTTTATGAGAGCTCAATTATTATTTGAGGTTAACAATGTGGAGCCAATCCAGCATTCTAAGATGAACCCTCTGGCAACGTGAAGCTTTGTAGGGTGTAGCAGCACAGTCAGGTGCCAGGGATAAATACTAAAGCCTAAGCCTCCATGGCCACAGGATGCTCCGAGAGGCCCTCTTGTTCCATATCCCAGTGTTCAGTGGGTTTTATGTTGTTGCCTTCCCAGTCTGTAGGACACATCTGCTACCCAAACAGGGACTTGAGTCGGAATAGTCAACAAAGGAGGAGGAGGGAGGCTCCCACAGTGGCCTTCCCACCCATCTGGCAACAGCTCATGTGGGAGCCAGGATAAGGTAAGGGTGGCCAATGAGACAGGGTTGATGAGCCAGGGAGAAGTGAGGATTACAGAAGATCTCCATTTTCAGATAGAACAGTCAAAAACCAAGAGGGGATGTGAAGACCAATGTTTGTTAGTTAGGAAAGGGGAGGTTGACAGGCCAAGCAGTGAATTGATAAAATGTGTGGAAAGTCTTACGTTGTTAATCAGTTTTATCCTCCTTGAGGGCGTGTTTTGTCTGCATGTTTGTTAGTATTTTGCCTGCTAAGAACCTTTTTTCTGAAGCTCTAAGTGCTGACTTCTAAAAGTAGGTAAGCTGGTCCCTGCTACCCCACCTTCCTGGAATGCCACCATGCTTACCAGTCAAGATAAGAAAGATGAGAGATGGCATCCTCAAATGTGGAAGGAATGTGGTGGTGGGGATTGCTCCATGGAGAGCCGTGGAGGTCCTTTTCACAAAGTGCAATGGTGGCTCTTTTGCGTTCTTTAACTCTTCTTACCTATTTTTACTTTGCTCTTTTCCATTGTGGACACTGTGTAGACATCTCATTCTTCCCCCTTGCTTTCCTGCCATGTTTTCTTCCATTTTTAAAATTAAAAGGGGGCCTAACCCACTGCAGTAAGAGAAGGTGCTATTTAGAATGCATCATTTATTGCATTATTATTCACAATAGGATAAAGGTGGAAATGACCCAAGTGGCCATCAAGAGGTGAATGGGAAAGCAAAATGTGATATTATCTCTACAATGGACTGTTATTCAGCCGTAAAGAGAAATGGAAATCTTGACACATGCTTCCACATGGGTGAACCTTAAAAACATTATGCAAAATGAAACTAAAAAAAAGGCAAGGAGACAACATCTCCTGACCTCCTCTAACCCCACAAGAGGAAGACAGAATCACCATCAGTAACCCAAGGCCTATTATTGCAAGGCCAGACATGCTGCCTCCCTCCAGCCCTTTCACCAACTGTTCCTCCCAAAGCACCCACAAATTTTCTGCTGAGTTCGATAATTCACTGCAGTGGCCACATAGAACTCACAGACTACGGGGTTTATTAGGGAAGCACCAGGCTACAATTCAAGTTCAGGAAAAATGCTCAGTCTCTCCCAGCCCACAGTCTCTCTTCTAACAATCTCTCACAGTCTCTCTCCTAACAGTGAGTGTCCCTTGGTGTCTCACTCAGCAATGCATGTCTCTTGCATCTCTTTCCCAGCAGTGCATGTCTCTCAGGAGCACATGTCTCTTTCAGCAACACATCTTCCTCAACCAGCAGTCAGAGAGAGACTTCTTTTGCCTCTAGGAGGCCTCCTTTTGAGCCTGGCAGAATGGCCAAACTAACCAATCATAACATCAGAATTCTAAGCACCTGAGAGAGAGCAGGAACCTCCCAGAACATTGCTTTGTGTTGCACCCAACAGAAATACCCCAGGTGGATAACTTTTACAATCAGGAGCTCCTCAGTTGCTCACAGCAAATTTCACCACAGAGTTTACAAAGTGTTATGGCTAGAAAAGCCACACTAAGTAATTCACTACACCGCAGAAACATAAAAGGACAAATATTGTATGGCACTACTTATATAAAATATCTAGAATAGGCAAGTGCATAGAGATGAAATGTTATTAGATTACCAGGGCAAATCTGGTAGGGAGGGGCAAATAAGGAGCTATTGCTTAAGAGGGACTCTGTTTCTATTTAGGGCAATGAAAACATTTGCAAGTGGAGAGTGATGATAGTTGCACAACATGGTGACTGTAATTAATGTCACTGAATTGTACACTTAAACATGGTTAAAGTAGCAAATAGTCTGTGAAATATATTTTGCCACAATAAATTAAAAAAAAGAAAGAGAGTTGTAACTGCTTAGTTCTTCTCCCATGCAGACTAGCAGTCAGCAGCAGCTTCTAAGCCCCACTCTGTCAGATAGAGGAGGAAGTCGGCAAGACTCAGGAGATACTGGGAAACCCCAGAGGAAGTTTGGTCAATGGCGCTTGCCCTCAGGTATGTATATCAAGTAATTTATCCATTGAGGCATTTTAAAGGCATTTATTCTCTGAGTTTTAAGTTTTGAATTTCTAAATAGAGGTCTGCATCTAAAGTTATTTACATACAGTGGAACAATGAAAAGTGTATTCCATTATTGGAAATATTCCCCTCAAACCAGCTGTTCTCTATATATAACTATATTGGTCCTTATTTTAAGCTACCATGTTTGAGAAAACAGCACCTATTAACAAAGAAAGACATCATAGTCAAGATCTAGAAAGAAGAGAAAAAGATTTCTAAAGGCTTCCCATGTGCAATCAAGGCATTCTTAAACATAGGCAAAATTTATTGAAGAGGGAGTAGCTAACAGCAAAGGAGCTCTGGTGGTGTGGTGGGTAAGGCATTTGGCTGTTAAACAGAAGGTAGGCAGTTCAAACCCACCAGCTGCTCTGAGGGAGGAAGATGAGGCAATCTACTTCTGTGAAGATTTACAGCCTTGGAAACCCAATGGGGGTCACTATAAGTCAGAATCAACTCAATGGCAATGAGTTGGTTTGGTTTAGGGAGATACAATCATTCTACAAATGAATCTCCAAGTTCTCAAAAAAGGTACAAGCCATTGCTTTATATTCAGCATTCACTCTGTACCTGGGCTGGTCACCATCTTCATGTAATCTGCTTTACCTCCATAATAATAACAGCAACAACAAGGACGTGCTTATATACCATTTAGTGTGTGCTAGTCACTATTCTAAGTGTTCCCTCATTTAATCCTCAAAATAATATTATGTTCTTCATTTCACTAATGAGTGAAAGAATTTTCTTCTAGGGAAACATGGTGTTTAGAAAACCAGAATAATCTTGTTTAAGGCATTTTGGGGTTGAGGAAGATCAATGCTCTGCATAGCCAAGTGTCCTCCATACATGGTTTTCCCTATAAATTTAAAAAAAAATTCACTGCCATTGAGTTGATTCCAACTCATAGTGAATCCCATTGGGTTTCCAAGGTTGTAAATCTTGACAGAAGCAAACTGCTTCATCTTTCTTCTATGGAGCAACTGGTGGGTTTGAGCCATGGACCTTTTGGTTAGCAGCCAAAT